AGATTGGATATTTAATTTATTTTTTCACTATTATAAATAAGATCTGCAAATAGGCAATGACTTAATCTAGTTTCTAGTTACCCTGGCCATCTATATTTTGAAGAGAATCACTTGTCATTTGTAAAATCAATCCCAATGAAGAACTGAGTGTTTTTGTTTACAACACACCACGTCACTTTAGTAAGTAATGGTTAGGGATATATCTCTCCTGGATTCCAGAGTCCTGAAGTGAAATTGGTCTTCTAAATCCTAACCACCATTTAGCTGTTCTACAGGACAGAATCCAGAAAAACATAGCCATTCTCCAAATGTTTTGATACCATTTGGCAAAATCAGTAGAATTCCTGATTGGAAAGATGACAGAGTGAACCAATGTGTAGCTTCTCACTAGTAGGGTTTTATCTATGCCTTATATCATCTGAGCCTATAGCCACTTCAGTTCTTTTGACACTAGGAGGTAATCTAAGTGCACTTTGCATGTATTCAGCTGTAGACTAGCAGCCATGTAGAATAGGATCTTGTTAGGAAGAATGTGAATCATTTCTGCAAATTTTAGGCAATGACTGGTTCACAACTATGTAAGTAACCCCTGATAAACTTATCAATATGGATTGATTCATTCCTGTGACTGACAACCACCTGTAACTGCAGGTAATCTGATAATCTAGTCATGTTTCTGTGTTAGCAACAGCATATGGCAGCAGAGAGACAGAGAGAAGAGAGAAGAGAGAGAGAGAGAGAGAGAGAGAGAGAGAGAGAGAGATGAGCTAATAATTTTTAAAATTTTTATAAAGATACATTTGTACATGTCATTTTTGTGCTCAGTTGTTGTTACCATCCAAATTTGGAGATAATTTTTTAGAAATTTCTCAAGATAATCATGCAACAAATCCCAACACAGTTCATTGATGGTCATTCCAGGACAGTTTTTTCCTCATTATCAGCAAAGTGGACAAAATTGATGCTTATTATTGCTTTGTGGATCCTAGACATCCCTGTATTATAAGAGCTTTCATAAATCTCAACTCCAGATACATCATCGACAATGCATGAGATAGGCAGCTCTAGGATTTACTGCCACTCCTCTAAGGTTTATTTTTGATCTTTCACATAGAGAATCACTCTCAATTTTATTACTATTCATTTTATAGGTAAAGGTATCAGACTAGCAGTTCATGTGAAATGTGGAAAAGCATAATGAAGTCACTAAATGAATCTATATAGTAAAATTTTCATAGTAAATGGGAATATGTATTGATAGGACAGTTATATTTTCAAAGAGCCACTTCACTAAGGCCTGAAAACTCAGAAATTTTTAAAATTGAAACATCTCACTTAGTGGAAATTTAAGCAATGACCACAGATATACAAAAACATTTTTTGTATTTGTAGTTATTGATAAGGTGAAAGCTGAATTTGGAAGGCAGGTATAGGGTTGTGTTGTATTTTCCTTACACTAGATTAAAAATAGGCATTTATCCATAAACTGATTTTACTTTCCTATTAAAACTTTGTTTAGGAACTATGGGTGCTGTTGGTGTTTGAAGAGTCATTCTTCAACAGAAAGAAAGTTATTTACTTAATCTCTCTAGTCATGTACAGAAACAGATATTCATTTCTCTAAAACAGAAGGCATGAACTTAACCTGATAGTTCTAATTCCAACCTAAAGCACATACTTTAAGTATTTTCCTTTCAAATAAGTAGTTCCTACTTCTAACGGAGAAAGCCATTGTTTAATCAACTCTCCCATGAAAACTAATTCTCATCTTCTACTACAGTTGCATACATCTTTTCCAACATATTATTATATAGACATAATATCAGATACCACTCTGTGGCCATCAACACATTTCTGTCATTGCATAGGTATGTTTCTCAAATTCTTTGATCGGGATAACTGTACAGGCAACCCCTCCCTTTGTGGATGCCAAGCTGAGGGGCCACGAATGGAGGGTGGAGAGGAGCCAGGATATTAAAGTTTCCTGGAGCCACTAACAAATGAGACAGTTTTAACTAGGTGAGGGCACAGAGGTCTGTGGGCATGTATCTGCTAGGTGAGCACACATATGTCCTTGATTCTATTGCCTTTTATAGGAAATCTTAGAAAGTTGGCTTCTTACCGAAACTAATTATGCAGCAGATTAGATCACTGAAACTAATTATGCAGCAGATTAGATCACTGTTTCATTTTCGGGTCATCTGATACCCAGTGTCAGCCATTTGGGGGGATTCCTACCCCTGTAGATGTCTAGCATTAGCCATTTTGACCCATGCTGATAATCCAAGTCATTTTGTCTAAACCTAAACAGGTTTTCAAAGCCTCAAAACCCTTCATCCTTGATACCATTCACTTTTATGAATGTCATTCCCTCTTACCCATAATATCAAACAGGTATTTATACTTCTATTTGAAGAAATACTCTGGACTCCATTAATTTTTTAAATTTAATTTAATTTAATTTGTAGGAGAGAAGAGGGTGTCAGATCCCCTAAAACTGGAGTTGTGGACTGTTGTTAGCTGTCATGTGTGGTGTATTTTGAACCTGAGTCTTCTGTAAGAATAGCCAGTGCTCTTAACTGTTGTGTCCTCTCTCCTGCCCATCCCCATTTTCAATGCTGTATTCTTCTCATTAATCTTCTTTAGCCCCGATTGTCCTAGGGACAGACATTGATAACTCTTACCTCTTAAGGCTGGAAAAGATTTGACAGTAACAGAATACACAGATTTAAGGAACATGGTACATTGAAGACCAAGAATAAACCCTTGTTAATAGAGGATTTCCACTCATAAAGGGAATGGCTTAGGTTAAGACTGGATTGCGAGCAGGAATAACAGGAGAAATTGGGACAGATGTGTATAAACATAAACTAGGAAGGAAAGTCATTCTCATCACATACGAAGGGAGGAAATTCCTAAATTTGTGTGGCTGTGCTGGTAGTAATGAGGCTCTCTCTCCTTATAAATCTTGACTCTGGAGTTGGTTTTTGTTTTAGATGTGAATGTAATTACTGCTCTTATTTCATATCCAGTTTATCACTGAAATGAATCCACATGGGAAGTTAATGAGTGACCAATAAGCTTTACAGGTACCAGTGAAAAGAACCTGTGTACATTTTTAAAGTTCTGAAATTGTGCCATAATTAATAGTGCCTGTGTGAGACAGAAAAGTAGCAATAAAGCATGTGCTGGTAGCTGAAATTAATCAAGATAAGATGCTATTCACAGAACACAGAATTAATACTGTCACTCTGAAAGCCAGTGCAATACATTCATTCTAGAAAAATCTGCACATATCTAATTTAGCCTGGGACACCTGTGACCTTTGTGCCATTTCTGAGTTATTGACATGAACAAGGCTTGCAGCTGTGACCAGCCCTGCTCAGTCCCTGATGATTTTATTGTGCCCAGAGTATATTCCATTACTCTGAAGAATTCTTAATAGGTTCCTTATAACCTGTGCAGGAGTCAGTTGATCAGTATATAGGTTGTTTCCATTTCATGGCTATTGTGAATAAAATATCAGCAGCCATGAATGAACAGGTATCTCTGTCATAGGGTATAGAGTCCTTTGGGTATATGTCCAAAAGTGGTATGGTTGGATCATATGGTATATATATTTCTGGCTTTTCAACCAATCTCCATACTGCTTTCTATAGTGGCTGCACATGTTTTCTCTCCCACATGCAGTGAATAAGATTGCCCCTAGCCATACATCCTCACTAGCATTATTTTTTTTTAAATCTTAGCCATTCTGACTAGGATAAGGTGAAATGTCAAGGCAATTCTAATTTGTGTTTCCTTGGTGGCTAAAAAGGTTGATTATTTAAAGAATACTTTTTCTGGGAGACAGAGTCATCATCACTTGTAAGGCTAGTATGGGAATTCATAGTTAAAGACCCTGGTATCAACAGAAACTAAAGCTCTTGATCTATAAGCCATCCCACTTAATAGATGGGGTTTCATCAAGGTTTGGTGGAAATGGAGCTGGGGCAGAGTGTTCTCTCACCATCAGAAGTCTGGAGTCTGAAGACACTGCAGTTTATTATTTTCAACACTGTTGATATATCCTTCTCATAGACAAAGCACACAGAAAAGCAGAATTGTAAGAAAACACTGCCTGAGAATTTCCCACTGGTGCCTAAATTGGCTGAGATTGTTTCTGAGATTCACAAGGCTTTAATGCACATTGTAAGGTCTTAGTAGAGGCAGTCAAGCAATCTTCTAGACTTCTTTCTCTATGTCTTTCTTTTCTGACTCAGCAGAAATAATGGTTCCCATAGGCTCTTCTGGGGCCTTGCCCCCATCTTGCTCAGGTTACTGGACAATATCTAACTAGCCTGGGTGTGCTATAAAATTCCCCCCAAGCTCCAATCTCCTTACTTTGGGATAATCTCCAGCCATTCCCACTAGTCCATAGCTCACCCCTTATTCATTGGTTAGTAAGAACCAGCACACATTGTTCTCATCAACACTCCTTGGGTTTTGGCCCTGTACTGCTGAGGCTGCCAGAGAGTTCCTGACTAGCTAGGAGAGATAGCCATATCCAGTTCTGATGGGTCATAAGTCACCTGCTTTGAGACCAATCCCAGTCACTTGGCTCCAGAACTCAAAGCTTCTTTGTTTAACCAACCCAACAGATACCCATCACATCAATTGGGCCTAGGCAACCATAAATATGTTCAGGGAACTGAAAGAAGACAGGTATAAAAGGTGAATGAAAACCGTGAAACACACACACACTGTTGAATGAGTGAAGTAAAACAATCCAAGGCTTGAAATTAGAATTCACTGAAGGTAGAGAATCTCCAGGGAAAAGCCAGACAAAGAAAACTAGAAATGAAGAGCTTGGGAAATTATTTACAAACACACACTGAGCCCATTAATATTATAGTGAGCTCTGTAAGTTTTCTGATTTATAAATCAGGCACAGTCTCTCAGGCAGATGGAGGAAGTGTGCAGGTCCAGGACTGTGTGGGGTGGAAGCAGCTGGTGTGATGCTAAGTGGGGGTTTTTGTCCAAGTGTGAAGCACTGTGGGAGGAGAACTATAATACTGCTGACAGTAATAATCTGCCAGATCTTCAGGCTGGACACTGCTGATGGTCAGAGTGAAATCTGTCCCAGACCCACTGCCTACGAAGCGATCAGGGACCCCAGATTCCCATGTGGATGCCCAGTAGATCAGCAGTTTGGGAGCCTGTCCTGGTTTCTGCTGGTACCAAGCCAAGTAGTGGGAAGCACCAGATGAAATACTCTGACTGGATTTGCAGTTCATAGTGGCCCTCTGTCCTGCTGACACTGACAGAGAGCGAGGAGATTGGGTCATAATGATGTCCCCACAGGTACCTGTAATTAGGTAGAAAAAATGATTATACACTCACACACACACACACACACACAATAGAAGCATTGGAATTTGACATTTACAATCTTTATAAAAGCATTATGTCAGTATTCACACTGTGTTCATATAGGAAATAGTAATTATATCTCATTACATCTTAGAATTATCTGTATCTCCTTAATAATATTAATCTAATACTGTAATAGTTATAAAATTCTCACCGGACACCCAGAACAGCAGGGCCATGAGGACCTGGATCTGTGACACCATCTTGCTGTTCTTGTCTTTCTGATGCACCTCAGTTTTCACTAATTAGGCCTGGTTTATAAAATCTAAGCAACTGTGCTGGGCCTGGAGGAGCCTATGCAAAGCAGTCAGCAGATATAAAGGCAGATTGTTGGGCATGAGGGAACCTGGTGTAAATCAACACCCGAAAATACTGTCATAGAAAGTGAAAGCAATGATTGGAAAGGAAGTCAACATAGAAGCTGAAGGTGAACTTAGGGCTCTGAAACCAGAACTACTAGACCCACTACTGACTTGTTTTCATTTAAAACCTAAGATACATTTCAGTGCATTTAGTTCTAAAGAAATGATATAATAATGACCTCAAGTCTATGATCCTTAGAAAATATAAAGCATGCAAAAAATATCCAGTAAGATCAAAAGAATTGAGCAAATAGAGGGAAGTTAAGACTTATTTTTATTGACTTTTTGGGAAATTTCATACAATATATTTATCAAATTTAGATTTCCACTCCCATCTTCACCCTCTACCAACAACTGCTCCAATTTCACCTCTCTCTCTCCCCTCATTTTTCTCCCCTCTCTCATAGACAGAGACACAGACACAGACACAGACACACACAGACACAGACACTCACACACATACACACAAAGACAAACACACACACAGAATCACTTATTTAGCATTGAAAAGAGATACTTTATGCTAGAACTGCTGTGCTGAACTCAGTCTTGCATTGTCTCAGGATAGTTTAAGTCTAACACTAACATTTATCTGGACATTTATCTCAGATGGTATCTATGCAAAGGATGAGATTGCTGAGGTGCTCAAGGACACTAAGCTGAATCTTCCTGCCTCCAAAACTGTAACAATCTATGATGTTTTCAGCCAACAGTTTTGTGGTCCTTTAAAAATGACAGCCCCAACAGTCTAATGAACCATGCTATAGTGTAGCAAGATATTTTGGGGAAAAGATATAATGAACGATTTTGTCATATTTCATTTTATTAAAAATAAAAGAATATGGACAGTTTGAGACCTGGGTCTATATAATCTCTCCGCAAGTAATATGAAAAACAATTATGTTTATTTCAGGACTCCTTTAGATTTTTAAGTTGCTATTATATATGTGTTTAAACTGAATAATCAGTAATAAAAGAAATTTGAGTTCACTACAGCAGTCACAAAGCAAATTTATAAAGTTTAGCAAATGACCAGATGACAGGACAACTTGATGTAACCTGACTCTCACAGAGTTCCTCATATTTCACATTCTAGACCTTAGACCCTGGGACCTTTCCCAGTTCACATACTATTTGACTCACTCATATGATGGTATCTTCACAGCTTACAGGGGGTATTTGAATCTGATCATTTCCACTGACTAGATTTCAAAGTAAAGGAAAGTGCTATTGTTTCAAGATAGCTGGGCAGTTCCTCATCTGAACTCACAACAATGGTCACAGTAAGTACAAGTCCCACCTAAGCTCAAGCCTGACAATACTGCAGAATGGAACTGGGGCGGTGGGTAAGAAAGCCTAACTCTATGTGAGGAACTATTGACAACCTATGGATGTGGGTACACAAAGAGTCAGTTTTGTGTAAGAGAATATTCGTTGGTTAACCAGGCTCCAGTGATGGTCCCACACTGAAGGGCATTTGGGGAGACAATTTTGACTCAACAGTCCACCATATATATTCAGAAAATAATGATGTAAATTGTCCTTTGTTAAGTTAGGTGTGATGGTGTAAAAATGAAATCCTAGTATTTGGAAGGCTGAGGCAGGAGCATTACCATAAGTTGAGAGCCATAGTTGGCTACACATCCAAACTTTGTAATAGGACCCGAAAGATGACTCATCAGGTAAGGGCACTTGCTTCCAAAACAGTAGCATAAGTTTGATCTCCAGGGCTCTTGATTGAGGGAGAATACTGACTCCATCTGGCAAATTGTCATCTGACCAACACAGACAAACACACACATGTACAATAAATAAACAAATATCAAAAAGTCTAAAAAAATTACTCCTTGTTTGCTATGTCTATAATCTCTAGGAAATCTTCCATTATGAAATTTTTAAGTAATCCGATATGAAAACACACACACATATACATAAATTTCTTTGTGTGTATGTATATATGTATGTTTTGTGTGGTTATATGTTTTTGTTTGTGTATAGAAATATGGAAACAAAAAAGGCAGAATATCTGTTTACAAAGATGAGACATCACAAATTACTGTTAACTATAAAGAGTATAAATTTTTCCAATTTCCACTTGCATTTAATAGGACTTCTGAATCTGCAGTAGTTATATAACTATATATAGGCTAGGGAAACTAGATTCCTGTTTCTCACCCTACACAAAATTTAACTCCAAATATATCAGTGACTTCAACATGAAAACTAATACACTGAATCTCATACAGTAGAAAGTAGGGAGGTCACTAGACTTTAGGGACACAGGAATAAATTTCTGGACAGGACCCTGATAGTGCTGGCATTAAGACCAGCATATGAAAAATGGAGCATCATAAACTACAAATTTTTTGTACAGCAAAGAACACTGTCATTCAACTGAAGAGGCAGCCTACAGAATGGGGGTAAAATTCAACTATACTCATATTCTGACATAAAGTTTTTATCTCGAATACATGAAGAAACCAGCAAAACAACACCAAGGAAAGAAGCAATTTGATTAACAATTATGACAAGGAACTGAAAAAAATTATCAGAAGATAAAATGAAAATGTCAGAGAAAATTTTCAAGATTTTTAGCCATTACAGAATTCCAATTGAAAATTCATTTGAAATATCATCTCACTACAGTCTGAATGATTAAAATCCAAAAAATAAATGATATCAAATGTTGGTGAGGATGTGGGGAAAGACGAGTACTTATTTACTGCTGTTTGGAATGTACATTGTGTAGTCATCATGGAAATCAGTGTGGAGTGTCCTTAAAAAGCTAAAAATATATCTCCAGCATGATCTAGTCATGTCACTCTTGGGCATATACTCAAAGAACTCTCTATCCTAGTACAGAGATACTTGTCTATCTACTTTCATAGATGCTCTCTTCACAATAGCTGGGAAATGAATGAAACCTCAATGGCCATTAACTGAAAATAGATAATGAATATATGGCACATTTTTTTCAGTGGAATATTACTTAGATGTTAAGGAGAAAATATGAAATTCTCAGATAAATGAATGAAACAGAAAACAAACATCATGTGTGAGGGAACTCAGATCCATAACCATCACATGTCCTCTTTCATAAGTGTATACACCTTTAAATCTTTAGATATGTGTATTTATATTAGGAAATCCATAGAGTTAAATATAAGAGGAAAAGGTTTTTGGGAGGGGAGCTTGAGTACAGTGACATAATAGGGGAAATAGTAATAATGTCATAGGAAAGGTTATATGATGGGGTAAAGTTCAGGGCAAAGGAGAGAGGATGAGGAAGGATAATTAGCAGTAAATTTTTTCTCATTTCATATCAAAATATACAACATAAGTTCTCTCCATTTTACATATATATATGCGATGGAAATAGTTCACACTTATGGCCAGGAACCTGTGGATAGGCAGGACACAGGCCATAGGAGAGAAGTGTTATTGTTTCTTTTGATGAGTAATCAAACAATTAAACTGACTACTAATGAGTTATTGTTACATTCACAGATTTGAGCCTTTCTCAGCTGCAACCACGGAAGCTTCACCTTGTAGCAGATGTAGAATAACAGAGAAGCACAAGTGGTTGTCGTGCAGAGAGTAAGAGACCTCAGAGTGTTGGATTCTAAATGGATTACTATAGTGAACCTTCTCCTCCCAAGGATCAGGGTATTTACAGCAGAGGGGTGGGTAGATTTTAGGAGCCAGAAGAAGTGGCTCAATATAAGTAAACCTGAACTGTATCTCATACTCACATAATCAAGGCTAAATTCTCTTCTACAAAAATACAAATAGGAGTGAAGAAGCTTTGAAGAAAGTCTTTGTTGGTGCTTTCTATCTTCATGGACGTGGTGCATGACAGTGTAACATCACTTGATAAGGTATTCTGTAAGGGACAGGAGAGAACTGATATCAATCCATTCAAAATAGGTCCACTTGGTTTCCTGCTCAATGAATGAAGGAACCAGAAATTTCATGTGTCCTTTTATGGTAAATCACAAAACTATACAAATGTTTGTCTTACACTAAGGAAAAAATTAGTAATTTTCCATTTATTTTTGAATTAATGTGACAGTTCTTATTTTTCTAGCCTAAACATATACTAATTACAAATAAAATGCAGAACGTTATTCTATAGCATATTTAATTCATGTTAGGGGACCCTTATGAAGTGGACCTTAAGAAGTTAATGTTTGAAAGTTTTGGTGCCCAGCTATTAGATCCCACTACTTAGAGATGGTTCATGGGGGCTCTAACACAGTCAAAGGATGTATTGATTGAGGATACATAAATTAATGACATTATTGGTATATGGTAGAAAGTAGAGAGCCCAGATTGGGTTTGAAGAAGTAGGTCATCAGATGAACTAGTGTATACCTTTGAAAAACTAATCTCTCTCTCTCTCTCTCTCTCTCTCTCTCTCTCTCTCTCTCTCCCCCTCTCTCTCTGATTCCCAGATGTCGGGGGTGTATAGCTTCTTTCCTGCCATGCTCACCTTCCATGATATTTTAACTTTTCATTAGTTTCACAGCAATGAGCCAAATCTACCATGTACAGAAACGACTGGGAATGCGAGACAAAATTAGTCTTTGCTCCTTTACGTTGGCTTCCTAAGTTCTTTTGGCACAAGGAATAAACAATTGGTACACTTAGCACAGTCCACACAGCACCACAGTTGTCCAGGGAAACACCCAGCACATCTGTGTCCCCATTTTAGGTATGGGAATATGGAGAAAATCAAGAAAGGCCATTTCCTATGGAGACAGCTTTAAAAGATATTCAGATTCTTCAGAGTCATATGTAGTCTATAAATCTCTTCATTCCTGTTGTATTATTTTTTTTCAAAATATGTATACAATTAATGTTTC